AAGAAATGGGAGTGCCTGACCACCTTATCTATCTCCTGAGAAATCTATATGTGGGACAGGAAGCAACAGTTAGAACTGGATATGGAACAACTGATTGGTTCAAAATTGGGAAAGGAGCATGACAAGGCTGTATATTGTCTCCCTGGTTATTTAACTTATATGCAGAATACATCATGCGAAAGGCTGGACTGGAGGAATCCCAAACCGGAATTAAAATTGCTGGAAGAAATATCAACAACCTCCGATAGGCAGATGATACCACTCGAATAGCAGAAAGTGAGGAGGAATTAAAGAACCTCTTAATGAGGGTGAAAGAGGAGAGAGCCAGAAATGGTCTGAAGTTCAACATCAACAAAACTAAGATCATGGCCACTGGTCCCATCACATCCTGGGAAATAGAAGGGGAAGATATGGTGGCAGTGATAGATTTTACTTTTCTGGGTTCCAGGATCACTGCAGATGGAGACAGCAGCCCCGAAATTAAAAGACACCTGCTTCTTAGGAGGAAAGCAATGACAAACCTCGACAGCATCTTAAAAAGCGGAGACATCACCTTGCCAACAAAAGTCCGCATAGTCAAAGCTATGGTTTTTCCAATAGCGATGTATGAAAGTGAGAGCTGGACCATAAAGAAGCCTGAACTGCCAAAGATTTGATGTTTTTGAACTGTGGTGTTGGAGGAGACTCTTGAGAGTGTCCTGGACTGCAAAGAGAATAAACCTGTCCATTCTAAAGGAAATCAACCCTGAGTGCTCACTGGAAGGACAGATCCTGAAGCTCAGGCTCCAATACTTTGGTCATCTCATGAGAAGAGTAGACTCTCTGGAAAAGATCCTGATGTTGGGAAAGTGTGAAGGCAAGAGGAGAAGGGGACGACAGAGGACGAGATGGTTGGACAGTGTCATCGAAGCTACCAATATGAATTTGACTCAACTCCGGTAGCAGTGGAAGACAGGAGGGCCTGGCGTGCTCTGGTCCATGGGGTCACGAAGAGTCAGACACAACGACGAAACAGTAACAACATCCTCCAATGTACCATACAAACACTGACTGTTGAAGTAAGAACATTACAGCCAAGAGAAATAAATCTAATGGTTGTTGTGGTTTTTTTGGGCTCTTTGGCCGTGTTCTGAAGGTTGTTTTTCCTAACGTTTCGCTAGTCTCTGTGGCCGGCACAGAGTGCTGTCCTCTGAAGATGCCGGCCACAGAGACTGGCGAAACGTTAGGAAGAACAAACTTCAGAACACGGTCAAAGAGCCCGAAAAACCATTAGATCCCGGCCATGAAACCCTTCGCAAATACAGAAACAAATCTCTTTATAATATATTTATGTAACTGATATTTATTCTCTTCGGGGAGAATGACTTAACTGAATACATTGGGAGGTTAACTTAGCTTGTGTATCAGTGAGATAAACATACATGTACAGTAGTTGCTAATCATACCAGTTATTGCTCACACTTCAATAATCTCCAGCTATTTGTTTTCAGCCCCCTGTACCATAAGTGATCTCATTCCATAGAGTCCTCTGACAAATAGATGTGCTTTTGGGGGGAGTTTTTACAGAGGGAGGGTGAGAATTATTTTGAATAATGATTTTTCTTATCAAGTGTCATCCAGTTTTCCTCTGGGTGGCAGGTTTTCTGGTTTATGGTGATTTAGTGTGCTATTACTTTGATATATGTTTTAGGAGTTCTGTTTTATATATTTTTAGCCATTCACTGGATAAGTAGAGTGAACTTTTTCCATTCTTTTTTCAAGACAACAGTATGCACAGGTAATGGCACAGCAGCAAAAAGCAGCTCTCTCATCTCAGCAGCAACAGCAACTGGCTCTCCTTTTGCAACAATTCCAGGCACTTAAAATGAGGTAAGAGTTTAGATTTCAGCATCGATTCACATCTTGTACAATAATAAACCCATTATATTCAATACAAAAATGCAGTCAATCACTGGTCATTGACAAATAGATATGTATGTGTGTGTAAATGCACAGATCTGTCATATTGAGTTTTCACACTAGGGGACTGTGGTCTTGGGGTGACTTGCCACCCACCAGGGCTGTTTTTGTGTTGCCTCGTTCTCTCCCTGCCTTTGATTTTCAAGCCAAAAAATGAATTGTCACTCCTGGAGTACTCCAGGAATGCCATGTCACCTTTCAGATAGTTAATATGCCACATTTCATCATTTAAAAAATAAAACAAAAGCATGTCTAGTCTTTTCCAGCTTCATTCTGGTTTGCGAGTTGCATTATGAAAAGCAGTCTGTATAGCCCTCGAGCAGAAAATTGGGTTCTGGACTTCTTAATATTACCCACCCCCAGTTATACTTGAAACATCACTTGAGATATATACTGTATAATATGGCCCTTGATGAAGGTACATCATTCAGTTTGCACCAACTCAAAATTATTTCTTTTCCCATCTCCTTTCTGTCACTCTACAGATGCAGTGCTCTTATTTAACACAGGTTTCCATGGGTAAAATTGTGAGGGAGATATTTTCAGCTATTTGTCTTCCTCACTAGCCTGCGTGCCTCCATAACCTGTTTCAGAGGGTTGTGGGAATATTTTTGAAAGCTGTATCTCCCTTAGAACAGGAGATGGGAGACTATATGAGGAAGAGGCTGTTGCTGAAAATCATCTCTTCACTCTGTTTGTGCCAGTACCACTGTGGCTATGGACTACAGCTTTTAATTGGCTTGTGGTATCCAATTAGTTGATTCATGTATAATCGATTCCAACTACGAAAACAGCACAATACATCGATAGAATTTTATGGGATAGCATATTGAACCTTTCTTTTACTATTGCAGAAAAGCTGAGCAGAACATGGGGCCACCTGTATCAAGATCTGTGTCAGTGCCAGACACTGGCTCAATTTGGGAGCTTCAGTCAGCAGCTCCACCAGCTACAGGTAAGAAACCAGTTTGGAACACTGTGATGTTGGCTACATTTCACATAATACCAAAGCATGATTTGCAACACAACACTAGGTGTTTTTAGTAGTATCCAGAGAATCACAACTTGTAAAACCATGTTTTGTGAATAATTTTCAGAGTGGGAATAGTTTGGGATTTATACTTTACTCTCAGCAGCTGCCAGGCTAAATTGCACCAGATTGTTTAGTATTAGCTTAAATCCTGTTGTGTGCAGTGGCACTAATGTCATAATTAACAGCAAATTGACACTGATTAAAGTCTTCCTTTAACAAGGTGCACCCAATTTTGTTGCATTGTGTATGAGTTGCATGCTCCCTGAAATTGCCTTACTGACAAGCATTTTGTTGTTGCTGCTTGGCATCATCTGTCTTGTGCATGAGGAGCTATGCAATTGAGTTTCAGCCAATTAGTGATTTCTGTGAATACTACCATGTTTCCCCGAAAATAAGACAGGGTCTTATATTAATTTTTGTTCCAAAACACACATTAGGGTTTATTTTCAAGGGGTGTTTTATTTTACAGTCATGTCATCTTCTGGTTGCAGCATAATGCTGCACAAGAGTGGAGGGCGGGGTTTCACTTAAATAGGGCTTATTTTGGGGGTGGGGCTTATATTACGAGCATCCTGAAAAATCATACTAGGACTTATTTTCAGGTTAGGTCTTATTTTTGGGGGAACAGGGTATCTTATGGTACTGTAGTTTATGGAGGAGACAGGAAGGAGCTTGTGTACTTTATTAATGTCATTTTAATATAATTTGTTTTGTGCATATCTATTAGTAATGCAAAATGCTTTCTCTAAAAGAATTTGATGTTTATTTTCATTTGTATACTCTCTTGCTGTTTTTTTTAATTGTTTTCTCTTCACTTTAGCTTTCTTCAGTGAGAGAAAATAATTCATCCCATATCATTTAGAGGGATGTATTGACTAACATGATCCATGTCTACATTAGTTTCTAATTTCTATTCTCTCTTAATTTTAAAGTGTGTTACTTTACCAAAACGTATTTTTCTCCATTTGCTTTGCAGTTTGGGAAGGAAACAGTGTCTGGGATCTCCCAATTGATAATACATCTCAGGGACCATCTCTAGAACAGTTACAGCAGCTTGAAAAGGCTAAGGCTGCAAAGGTAAAAGAAGAAGAAACATATTATTCTACTACCTGTCATTGGCAATCCCAGTTTGTTTTGCTTGTTTTAAAGAACAACTGTGACATTGCCTGTGCTGATCTGCAGTGATTGGGGTTCCACATGTTATTAATTAGTTGTTAATTCTGAATGAGGCATTGTTGTTCTACAAGTGATCACAAGGAGATGTAAACCATCTCCTTGCCTGGGAATACCAGATATGGTGAAGGATATACAGTGGTGCCCTCGCTTAACGGGCACCCCATTTAACGACGAAATTGCATATCAACGAACTTTTTGTGATCGCTTTTGCGATTGCATTGCGATGTTTTAAATGGGGAAAAATCGCTTTGCGATGATCAGTACCCTGTTTCGCTTACCGATTATCGCAAAGCAATGATTTTCCCCCAGCTGTGATTAGGGACAGATTCCTCACTTACCGGGCAGTGAAAATGGCCGCCGTATGGAGGATCTTCGCTTAAAGGTCAGTTTTAAGCCCATAGGAACACATTGAAGGGGTTTCAATGCATTCCTATGGGCTTTTTAAAATCTCATAGCAACGAAATCGCTCTGCAGCGATTTTTGCTGCACAGATTAACGTCGCTATGCGAGGCACTGCTGTAAACCATTTAATATCATAACTAACAAACATCTTGCAGCTAGTGTAAATGATATATCAGTTTCTCTGGCTCTTATCTATAATATTACTTTTGTTACTTCAGCTAGAACAGGAGCGAAGAGAAGCTGAACTAAGGGCCAAAAGAGAAGAAGAGGAGAGGAAGAGACAGGAGGACATTCGGAGACAACAGGAAGAACTAATCAGGAGGCAAGAGGAAGAGAGAAAAAGAAGAGAAGAGGAGGAAATGGCTCGCAGGAAGCAGGTAACATTTCAGATATATACAATGTGTTATAAAGAGAACAGTTTTTACAGATGTGCATGGTCATGAAGCACTCATGATGTTGTAGCATTGCAGTGAAAACTATAGAATCATTAACGGATGCCTGAAGTTAAACTCTGTTAATAAAATGAGGTGACTAATAAGCATTGCACCCAGTAACATATGGAGAAGAGATAGCAGCTAATAGTGAAAGACCCAACGCATCTGCATCAATTGTTCACCCACTCTTTGGCTACCATCCTGCCCCTCCGAGATTAAAATCAAGGAAGAATGTTTTGAGAACATATGTGAGTCTTGAAGGAGCAATAGGAAGAATGTGGAAAGAAAGAACTGCTGACCTCTTAAAATGGATGGAATCTCAGGAAAATCTAGTTCCTGACCACATGGAGAACTGTGTTATTTAGCTTTGGACTAGAGTTGGTAGAACCAAACTGAACCTAAGAATATGACTTATTCACACTGACACAGTCCTTTGTAAATGTGAAAAAGAGCAGGCAGCTTCAGACCTATATAAATATCTATGCCTCTTAACATGGAGCATGGAAGGTTTGATGTTAGCTGTCCCAAATTAGTTAGATGTTATTTGACAAAAAAAAATCTGATACATTTATTAATTGTGCTGTGGTACTTCAGACATGAACAAAGGAAGAATTGCGAAATTGGTTGGTCAGTTTAATTATTACCATTTGTTTGTTTGTTTGTTTGTTTGTTTGTTTGTTTGTTTGTTTGTTTATTTATTTATTTATTTATTTATTTATTTATTTATTTATTTAACTTAT